GGGAGATGGCCCAGAGTTGATGAGCTTTTATGGGGTGAAATTGCCAAGGTTGTTGAGGTTGTTATTTTGGGAGGGAATGCCTCGAAAATCATTCACCCAACACTGCCAATTATTTCACATGTTGAGAAGAAAACAAGTGTCTGCCCGCTCGCCACCAGCTGCCGCCAATCATATGCACAATTGTCGCACCAGCAGCCAATCCGCAGCGGCCCTTGCAGCAGCCACCAATCACCCACCGAATAGCCATTGACAAGCTCCTGCTCGCAACTGCAACCAATTGCCCGTCCTGCCTATGGACTATCTGTGTATAAGACGCCCCCTGATCTGTGTATAAGACGCCCCCTGGTTTTTTAGAGTAAAAAACCCTCATCTTATACACAGAAAAGTACGGTATCTCCAAGTCTTACCTGGAGGTATCAAGGATTGAATCAGGGGTCTACAACATCCAAGGCATATGTTCTCCCACTGAGCTTTGGCCCTTTTCCACCACGAAGCCTTCAACACTCTACACCTGTTGCTTCTGCCTCTTTGTTCTCACTGGACAAGCCTTCACAGTTTCATGAGCTTTGTCGAAGTGAGCCAGGAAATGTCTTGACCACTCCAAAGTGTCCATCAAGTGCAACATCCTGTTCTCACATTGGTCAACCAGATGGCTATGGGAAGCCTGAAAGCAGGACCTGAACACACCATCAGTTCTCTACCAGTTGCGATTCGCAACACCTGATACTCAGAGCACCATGGCTTATAGCCATTGATAGTCTTAACCTCCATGAGTGAAGGAAGCTCATGTCTTCCATGAAGCCTGCCATCACTTGTCCTCCACTTGGAAAGGAGCCAGAGTATGTGGAAAAAGGAACTTTCATAGAATCGTAGAGTTGGAAGAGGCCACAAGGACCATCGAGTCCAACCCCCTGCCAAGCAGGAAACACCATCAGAGCACTCCTGACATATGGTTGTCAAGCCTCTGCTTAAAGACCTCCAAAGAAGGAGACTCCACCACACTCCTTGGCAGCAAATTCCACTGTCGAACAGCTCTTACTGTCAGGAAGTTCTTCCTAATGTTTAGGTGGAATCTTCTTTCTTGTAGTTTGGATCCATTGCTCCGTGTCCACTTCTCTGGAGCAGCAGAAAACAACCTTTCTCCCTCCTCTATGGGACATCCTTTTATATATTTGAACATGGCTATCATATCACCCCTTAACCTCCTCTTCTCCAGGCTAAACATGCCCAGCTCCCTTAGCCGTTCCTCATAAGGCGTCGTTTCCAGGCCTTTGACCATTTTGGTTGCCCTCCTCTGGACACGTTCCAGTTTGTCAGTTTGTCATTTTATGCATGGATAGATGTAGCAGAAGCAGAGGTGGCTGGCACAACATCCTTCCCCAGTTCAGATTATAGTTGAAGGAACATCTAAGGACCATGGTACCTATGATGCACCCATGATGCAGAATAAGGAGGTAAACGAAGGTGCCACGCTTCTGAATCATGACCACTTCAGCCTGCATGTGAGATGCATGTAGTATTTCTGGATGTTTCTATGTAAAATAATAATAATAATAATAATAATAATAATAATAATTTATTATTTGTACCCCACCCATCTGGCTGGGTTTCCTCAGCCACTCTGGGCGGCTTCCAACAAAGATTAAAAATACATTTAAATGTAGCACCATGATATGCTGATTTTCTCTATGCAGGTCGATATATTGCTTTGCTGTGCTGATGGAGGATAATGGGTGGAAATATTGGGGGGTTGGGATGCTATTCCTCAGCAAGGAGTCTGAAACAGTACACTCCAGGATCTCACTTTAGTTCTATGTCTCACTACTGTGGCAACCTATAGCTACCACTTCATAAGGAGCCCAGGAAAATTACCTGTAATAATTCCCTCACCATGTTTGATCCTGCTGCTGTTTGCACTGGCTCGGCTTCTCTGGCATCAAACACGCTTCCTTGAACATATTCACATTTTATTGGATGCCAGGAATTGACATGTACTCTTCCATCCATTCTGGACAAAGGAGAGGTACAATGGTGGGTGATTTGTTTGCTTCTTTTCTATTAATGGGGTCTTCATGGAACCCATTATGTGACCCTGGCTTCTTTTCTGTTGTTTTGGATGTGGAAGCCTTTTTGTGTTATGTCACACCCACTGGTGCTCATGGCACTCCCTCAAGATTCCCAGTGTTCCCACCAACCCAAGAAGGTTGCTGATTCCTGACTGACCATCTCATGCTGCATAATTTGCAGATCCACTGGAAGGTTACCAACATCACAAGAGGAAAAAGAGAAACTCGGGGACACATGGTCCAGCTCTCATTTTTGTCCCTCAAGTAATATCATCAACACTGACATGGAAAGAAGATGCAAACTAAAGCTGTTCATTGTGGCTGGGGGGTTCTTTAGTTACTGTAGAACTACATGTGGTTGGATGTATAGATTTCAGAGGTATTGTATTGCAGTCTGCTTCTAATTCAGCAATGTAAACCAAGGAAACCTACCTATACTCAGGGATGGTAGAAGTTGCAGTCCAAAATCTGGGGACCCAAAGATGAAGAGCCCTAGCCTAGAAGCACTGTGGTGGCTTCCCTTCCATCAGAATCATGCAAGCAGGAGGACTAAAAGATTAAAATTCGATCTTTGTTATATAGCCACTGAAATATTCAATTGAGCGTAATAATAAAAAAGGCAAAACAGAATAAGGTTAGCCAGTCCAAGAAAATAAATATCCCCGAGACCAGACTGCAAGGTTACCTGCTTTAACTGTTTCCCACTTTATTGTCAATCATTTGAATCTTTTAGTGTGAAGGCCGACATTTTTATTGCGCTTTCTGTTTAGCATTGGAGAATCTGAAGTGGCAGGGCAGAAAGGAACACAAGTTTTCTCCCCCTCTCTTCCCTATGAATTGTGCTTTGCAAAGTGAAAGCTGCATAGTAATGAATGATAGAAGAAGGTCCCCCCCTCCATCACCACCACCTTTCCAATTCTCATTTTTCTTCTTTACCCAAGAAAGGACCAAATCATTCTGCAAAACACATTAAGAGTCAATGACAAAGTAATAGAAAACGGTGGCATTTGGAAATATCTTTCGGAGAGAGTCGCCTAAGTGTTACTTTTCAAAATCCATTCTCCCGATGTAGATAAAGTTGAAGGCAGATGGACCAAGGCAGCTCATATGTCCTTCGCCGGATGCCTAAATCTAACTTATCTTCCTTATGTCCTAGTCCTATGAGTGGCTTTGTGGATAAATAAAGGCTGCTTCAGATGCTACTTCTCCAACTTGCATCTTTAAAGGCCTTTCCAGGTAATCGGTTTACAGCACAATAATTGTCCCCTCGGCACTCGTTCCTCAAATGCAATCCAGATGTCTTCTGTTACGGAAGTGTAAGGGCAAAGGATGTGCAGAATCTGCTGGAGGAATTTCACAAAGCTTTTCAAAACTCTTTTCAGTGTCCTCCATTCCTGTCCGCCCCTCCAAAGCTGGACCTTCCCAATTTGTCTTCCCATTCTGCTTTAGTACAAGATTAGCCAATGGTGTGTCCTCCAGCTATTGTTGGACATTTCCCATCAGCCCCAGCTAACAGTGCTAATGACCCGGGTGGGTGGTAGTTGTAGTCCTACACATTTAGATACTGTTTAAGTGTCCACTGCTTCTTTTTCAGGGGAGAAGGATGGGAACCTCCAAGGTGATGGACACAAAACTTCTAGAGACACCATGCATGTAACTACCAGATCTAGGTTCCACCAGCTTCCACTGATAATGTTGGATTCTCAACCAGTCTTGAAGGGTTTCCCTAGCCACTCTGGGAGGCTTCCAACAGAATATTAAAATACAATAGTCTATTAAACATTAAAAGCTTCCCTAAACAGGGCTGCTATCAGATGTCTTCTAAAAGTCTGGTAGTTGTTTTTCTCTTTGACATCTGGTGGGAAGGCGTTCCACAGGGTGGGTGCCACTACCAAGAAGGCCCTCTGCCTGATTCCCTGTAACTTGGCTTCTCGCAGGGAGGGAACCGCCAGAAGGCCCTCGGCGCTGGACCTCAGTGTCCGGGCAGAACGATGGGGGTGGAAATGCTCCTTCAGATATACTGGGCTGAGGCCGTTTAGGACTTTAAAGGTCAGCACCAACACTTTGAATTGTGCTCAGAAACGTACTGGGAGCCAGTGTAGGTCTTTCAAAACTGGTATTATGTGGTATCAGTGGCTGCTCCCAGTCACCAGTCTAGCCAAATTAATACACAGTATTGTGTGTATTCTGTCACCATCCACATAGTTTTCCCTCCAGCACCTTTCAGCACCATGCAAGACTATAAGAACATCCACTCTTTCTCCTTGAATCTGGCTCTGTAGCATTGCCTTGCCTCTTGAAACAGTAAAACTCAGCTATTCCCCGGAGCTGCACACTAAGCCCTCTTTGCCCCCATTACTATTTGATCTTGTATGTGGTTATCCTGCTCAGAATTACGCTAAGTAATTAAGGAAGGAGGCTTTAATCCCTTCTCTTTGTAAGGGTACAATCTATTTATTCAGGGAGCGTCTACAGTATATTGCATTTTTTGTGTGTGCGCAGCATACAGAGCTAAGAATGATTGAACTAATTTTGTTTCTGGGTGAAAATAAATCCTCCACCAGCTCAAGCCCTGGAACTTTCATGTAGACACCACTGAAACCGAATTGAATTACAAAGTTTTCCACTTGTTCAACCGGCTTTCATTAACTTCTCAATGCTATCTTCCTCCTGGAAGTTGTTCAAAATAGTTTGTGCTTCGGAAAGGGGAAGAAAGTTGATTTTGTTTGCGTGTTAATCGGACACTACCTGATTTGCGCTACTTGAATTAATTTCCGAAAGGAAACAGCAAGATCTTTCAAAATTTGCGCTTCAGATTTTGTAGTGCACTTATCCAATCAAACACTGTGTGCAAGAATGAGGGACGTGCACATAAAAACATGTATTATAGTGATAAAACCATTATGGGAAATTGATGTGGGTGGAGAGAAAGAGATTGCCTGTGGTGCAATGGATTACTGTGTCTGGCTGTTAACCAGGAGATTGGTGGTTCAAAGGTTGGTGGTTTGAGCCCACCCAGGGATGGCTGTGGACAGCATCCCTGCATTGGAGGGGATTGGACTATGGGGTCCACTCCAATGGTACAACTATATGATTACCGGTAGTTATCAAACTTCTCTACTGTCCTTCATCCAAGGATCACAGGGCAGTAATATAAAAACACAAAAATACACAGCACAATAACAAACAAAAACAGTACTCCCCAATTTAAAAGGCCATGGATTGTCTAATTAGCCAAAGACCTAGGAGAAGAGGAATGTTTTTGCCTGACATCTAAAGATATGTAATGAATACATCTAAAGATACGAAATGGGAGAGCATCTCACAAGCAGGGAGCCACTGCGGAAAAGGCCTGCCCTGTGTTCCCACCTTCTGGACCTCTCGCAGATGAAACACAGGTGGAAGGGTCTCAGATATGGGGAGGGGTGGTCCTTGAAGTAAGTATATGAGCCAAAACTGCACAGAAAGAAAAGTGTTTATAGGCAGATAATTGCATGAAAATGGGGATTTGTAAAAAAATTACAAATTGCTGCAGAAATGTGGAAAACTGAATTGAAGATGGGGTGTGTGTAGGAGAATCTGAAAGAAACCAAAAGTGACAGATTCTTCCATAGCTATTTTTATTACAAGGTCTTCAAAACCACCCTCTCCAGAATGCACCCAGCTATGTATGGGAAAGTAGTTAGGAGACCGCTGTTCTCCTAACTGACAATTGGGAAAGGGACCTCTTAGGACCTCTTAGCACCCTTAACAAAATAAATTTCCCATGGCTTCTTTTGGGGGAAGCCATGGCTGTTGAAAATGGATTTCAATGTGTGGTAGAGATGGGGACTTTGCTAGCCTTTAAGCTGCCGCAGTTCTTGCTGTTGCTGCTGCTTGGTTTTCTGTCTCTTGAGTGTCTCTGAAACGATCTCTGTGACAACAGCATTCTTTCCAGCATTGGTGGACTCTGCTCCAATAGGATGGGCTCCTTCTTTCCCTCTGTCAGTGTGATGGCCTGGGACTTGGGCTTGGACTTAGAACCAGAGGAGACTCAGTCTGCACTGGATCCTTTGCCTCAGGCATCATCTGAACCAAGTCTGGGGCCTGATCCGGAAGAGTCCCAGTCTGCACAGGTTCCCCTGCAACAAACACCAGCTGGGCCGAGTCAGGGGCCTGAGCCTGCCCTGGCTCCAGATGCGAGGATTACCTCGTTGCCTTCAGCTGGGCCATCACTTACAGCTGCTCCACTATCAGTTTGGTCAGGGGAGGCTGAGGTGGCCCCTGGGTCTAGTAACCCACCGACGTCTCCCGAGCTGCAGAGACTCAGGTCTGAGAGAAGGAGAGACCTGAGTACTCGCAGGAGGAGTGCTTGCCTTTGGGATAAACAGGGAGGTGAGTCGCTGGGGGATCAGGACCGGCCACTACCCTGACAAAGATAAAAGGCTGTCGGACCCCGCCCCAGGTTGCGGGAGCAACATTGCTATATGCCAGATCCTGCCTGAGACCCTGTACCTGCCCTTGCCTGGTTTCCTGCCTCGTGTCCTGCCTTGGCCCTGTCAGACTGACTCCTAGCGGAACCTTCAGATTCTGGACTGGTCCTGGTCTGCGTTTCATGGGAACCAGGCCCAGCACAGAGAGGCCCTCAGGCCCTCTGTCTGGAATATAGCTGTTGGGGACATCACTATCCCTATTTTGCCTATATGTGGCAGAAGCAATGGGATGTGATGACTGAGCATTCTTCTGCTAGCAGTAGGGAAGGAGCTCAGAATGCTTTGAGTGGCACTTCTTTTATGCCTTTTGTGTCCCCAAAGCAATAAGCCCACCTACAGACCCAAGAAACTGTACACTCTGTAGAGCATTGGACTAGATGACTCTTTGAGTCCCTTCCACTGCTACAGGCCTATGGGATATTAAGATATTAAAGGCCTGCAGATACACCACATGCCTCTAGCCTTAGCTAGCCTGCTTCTCTCCAGGTGTTTTGGACTTCAGACCCCGTCAGACCCAGTCAGCATGGCCGATGATCAAGCACAGTCAATTGTCAAGTCTGATCAGAGTTGTAGTCCAAATTATCTGGAAGGCTCCAAACTAGGGAAGGCAGCATGTGTGGGTATAGTCAATGAGCACAAAGTGGGGAGATATTTATAGAATTGTAGAGTTGGAAGGGAACTCAAGGACCATCTAGCCCAATCCTCTGTGATGCAGGAATCTCAGTTAAAGCATCCATGACAGATAGCTAGCCAACCTGTGCCTAAAAATCTCCAAGATAGGAGAGACTACTTAAGTTTGCTTGTCCTTTCTCCTTATCTTGAGAAGAGGCCCTCCTCCTCATTTAATCCCTACAACAACCCCATGCAGATGTTTATTTTTTTTTAAATGATATTTATTAAAGTTTCAAAAGAAGGATACATAAATAAAAAAGAGAAAAATAGAAAAAAGAAAAATACAAAATACAAAAAAAAAATATATTAAAAACAATTCCATCTTTTCATCACTTCTCTTTCATTTCATTTACTTGTTTCCCGGACCTCCTCATACCTCCCTTTTTTGTATTCCAGTTCAATTTATTTAGTCCAGCAATTCCTTTCCCTCCTTTTTAATCCTGATCTTTAATCTTAGTATATTATAGCATTAAGTTTTTACGTATTGAAAATCCAATTTTTCCATATTCTTTTATACCATTAGAGCTAGAAACCACTTAACTTCAATCCAACATCATTCTAACATTCATTAATTTTACAATATTTCTGTAAGTAGTCTTTAAATTTCTTCCAATCTTCTTCCACCGACTCTTCTCCCTGGTCTCGGATTCTGCCAGTCATTTCCGCCAATTCCATGTAGTCCATCATTTTCATCTGCCATTCCTCCAGTGTGGGTAAGTCTTGTGTCTTCCAATGCTTTGCAATAAGTATTCTTGCTGCTGTTGTAGCATACATAAAGAAAGTTCTGTCCTTCTTTAACACCGATTGGCCGACTATGCCCAGGAGGAAGGCCTCTGGTTTCTTCAAGAAGGTATATTTAAATACCTTTTTTAATTCATTATAAATCATCTCCCAGAAAACCTTAATCCTTGGGCACGTCCACCAAAGGTGAAAGAATGTACCTTCAGTTTCTTTACATTTCCAACATTTGTTATCGGGCAAATGGTAGACTTTTGCAAGCTTGACTGGGGTCATGTACCACCTGTATATCATTTTCATAATATTCTCTCTTAAAGCATTACATGCCGTAAACTTCATACCTGTGGTCCACAACTGTTCCCAGTCAGCAAACATAATGTTATGTCCAAAATCTTGTGCCCATTTAATCATAGCAGAAACAACCCCATGAAGATGTTTAAGCTGAGAGGCAAAGAATGCTCGATGGTTACCCAAAGAGCTTCATAATCAAGCAGGGATTTGCACCCTGGTCTCTAAGATCCTATTCTCACACTCTTACCACTACACCATGCCAGCTCTCAATTTATGCACACTGACTGTATGCAAATGAAATGTCCTTAACCCACCTTCTCAGCGGCTGTTAGAACTGTCCCTGCTTCTGTGAACATGGTCTTCATGGCTCCCTCCCTCAAAGAAGCATCAACACCCACTGTTTCTTTGTTCAAGCAAGCATGAGTAATTTCTACATTTAGCTCCTTCTTGGAAGATCTAGTTTGTTGTGCCAGTTTTTGTTTGGGCTGGGGGGGAGGCAGTCACACACATGAAAGCACAATCTGGCCCTTCCAACTATCAAGTGTTCTGGGCTCCATCAGGATGAAAAATGCCATTGAAATGGAAGAGAGTATTATAATAATTTGTTCCTTTCTGGGGGCAGCAAAGACCTCGGCTTTCATCTTCAAGTGTAAGAGCAGGCTGCCTTTTCTGGTTTCAGCAAGAACAAGATGTGAGCGCTCCATTCAAAAATCAAATGTCAGTGCAGTGGGAGGGGGCAGAATAAACCAGCAAAAGGGGAGGGGGGAACTTGAGCAAGATTTGACTCAAAGGCTCTGAAATTGAGTTAAAGTTTACTACTGAAGTCAGTTTCCCCTAGGGGCTAAGCTGCCATTTAAGTTTTTCCCCCGTCTCCCTTACTTTTACAGTATAATTCTACTAATACAGGACTAAAGGTCAGCAGGCTCCATCAAGAAGCATCATCTTGGATCCGATTTCCGTTTTTTATCAAGACAAACTTCCCCCATTTTCGAACACTTCCCTCCCCTGTTCCTTCAGAACTCTTGGCTCCAAAGCTGTAAAGTTGTGCCAAGTGTAAGACTGTGAATCTTGAGAAGGCGAGATGGGGAAGAAAATATCATGGCACCATTGCACTTCTGATAAAAGCAGTGGAGCATTTCACATGTTGGAAAGTTCTGCATGCTCTGCTAGGATTTCTAGGAGACCTAAGCAGGGGGTCACCAATGCAGCAACCCAGGAGGAACTATTGTGTTGGGTTTTCTTTGCAGACTAGCATGCACAGCGCACAGTTTCCACTAGAAGATAGAACACTGCCGGTGAGAACAGAAGGGTGGCCCCACTCTGCCTCCTTGCAATGCAAGTAACATAGGCTAAACCAGGGGTGGTAAACCTCTACCCTTCCAGATGTTTGTGAAATCCAACTCCCATCATCCTTGACAACTGATTGTGCTGGCTAGGGCAGATGGAACTTGGACTCCACCAACATCTGGAGGGCCAGAAGTTCACCATTGCTAGGTTTTATACCAAGTGGCACCACTGGAATTTCATATAGTCCCTGTGCCTGCAGCCTTGCACATTAATGCGCCCTTAGACATTTGCTTACAGCTGATCCAGGAGAAGGATCTCTGGCATATGGCATGAGGCAGCAGGAACCAGCAAGCTGTTTTGCAAAGGAGTTTTGTTCCTCCTTTGCACTGAGAACTTTTACTTCCCAGCCCTGGAAGTCCTCAGCCGCTCTAACTCTCCCAGTGCCTGCTTCGAGCACAGAAATGAGCAGCTACTTATGAGACAGCCCCAATCCTTCTCCACGAATGCAAAAATAATTTGTGTTGCTCTTTTCAGGGGACCTTGTTTTACACAGGATTTTAATAC